AAGAAGATGGTAGTACAGCAGAAATCTTTTCCGTGGCGACAGAAGCCTGCTCTTGCATTTGTGACCTCACCTCACCCCAAACTCTGGGATTCAAAAGACATCTGGACTCAAAGATGCAGACAGTTAATATGTACCCCAGCATGCAAAGGTACATAGTGTTCCACAATAGTAGCAATCACACTGGTAAGCATAGGCATTGATGCAAAACTAGATCTAGATGTGAAACACTATGCCAACATAGAAGCAAGCTAGCAAGCAGTACTGCTAAAAAGAAATACTAGAAAAAAATGTTTCCACTAAATGAAATACAGTTTAACAGCGCAATTATTATAGGTTTACAACAGCAAACAGAGTTTCCTTCTGACAGATGCTTGGCATGGATTCACAGCCTTGAGCCAGCCAGACATTTGACCCCTGACCCCTGAAGTATCTTCATCATAGCAGGGACTGATTTGTAGTGAAACAAAAGTCAGCTTGTCCAAGAGGAGACTTCTGCCCTCTACATTTCAAACCGTATTGCTACATAAATGGAAAACAATCATAAATTGGGTTTGCATGAATGATGGTTTCCCCTGACTGAAGGTCCAACACAAGACAGAGAGAAGCCATGTGTTCTGTTCACCGTTGGCTTGATCCAGGGGCCAGATTTACTTTCTAGCGTCAAGCAGAGAGCAAACAAATGCCAGGTTTGTCGTTAAACCAACCTCAACACCAGAGAGCTGACCTATAAAACTTTAACAATAGCTGACTTATTCACCTAAAGCATTGTTAGCATCTTCATAGCAGCTAGAAGTTGACAGAAGAACTAGTTTGTCACAACTCAAATCCTCAGGGTTTCCTCTTGAGGCCTCCGTAAAGCATAATTTGTTTGTTCTGTGTTGACATTCCCCCCAGCTTGGAAAGGATTCCAGCTTTTCCATTTCAATCTGTTTTCTGCATCCATAATTGACCTGTCTGTCCTCATTCTATCTCCATGTTTTGTAATCCGATGGACCACAACACAAGACATGAGAACAAGAATCCCTTAATATGACAGCAGCTAAACTTGGCTATTTGTCTTGCATATACAATTTCCTAATGTTGTAGGAAACATGCAGTGAAAACATTTGTGCTATGTCTTGTTTTAGGTTTAACATCACTACCAACGTCAATGAGCAACAGATTTGGCAACATAGCTATAAAAATGAAACCATAGTCTGCTCTGAAAGGTTTGTTCCAGAGAATGACTTCCTGAAGTACAGGTTGTGTGAAATAACAAATTTGACCCTGTTGAGGGGGCTCTAATCAATTAGGGTAAGTGGAAATGACTTTTTAATTTGCAGTGCCTACCACTGGAAACAAATATACTAAGTAGTCTAAATCAGATATTTTTACCATGGAGTTTCATCTGAATCAAGCAGAAATCTTTGGATTGAATAGAAACATTTCAGTGACTGAAATACAAGTAATTGGATTTGAACTGGGCTTACTTGTTTTTTATGTAAAGAGCTTTTAAGCAACTTTTATTTTGATTTGGTGCCATCACATTAGAAATATTACCTGATCTGACCAAGTTGAAAACACATACTACTGGGATTAGATTAGCAGTCTAGTGCCCAAATGTTTCATTACAGAAATTCCTAGAAGTAGAGAGAAGTTAGAAGGCTTCGACATTCAGAGAAATATCTTTTTCTTCATTATCACAGTGTTACCTGCCACTCAACTTCTCATAAAATCCCATTGTATTGGGCAAATGTTCATTTATTCATTCAGCCACTTTAACAACTCTAGATTTATTAAGTTGCCTACTGTAACTGTCTCTCAGGACCTTTGGTGTTGCTCCGGTCAGCTGTCCACAGCCCAAACAGGACTGATCCGGCCCTCACATTCTGTTGCCAGTTGAGTAATTTATGAAGTCTGTTTGCACGCACCACACTCATTCAGAAAAAAATGAATTTACATGACTGCATGTAAATATAGACATAGTCATGTACAGTAAATATGGTGCTCTTTCTTTTTTTCACATCACTGTAAGACCCATACAGTTGCTCTTCCATTCAAACTTCAATCTGGCCTTCACATTTATGCATCCAGTGACGCCTCAGCATTACATAAAATACACGTGGCTCAATTGCTATGAAATATTCCAGCTGTCAACAGAGAACACAGAAGTTCACCCACATGGTGAAATATGACTGCTTCTGAGTTCAATCAGAACATTACTTTAGAATGATATTGGTAGCACCTTTATCAGTTTCATGTCCTCCACATGCCTAGAGGCTCCCACTGAGTTACCTCATATACACCTAAATTAAGAATAGTTATAAATAATTACTGTTTCCACAAATTCTGGCCCATATGGGTAGCTTTCTGTTTTCCATCATCCTCAGTAATGTAGCCAAGATTCACAATTTCAAAAATAAATCATATTTAAACACATGCCCCACATCTGCACAGTCACATTTTTACCTATAGTACTGGCTAGCATTAATAATTACACTTAGGATTCTTAGGATGATTTCTATTTGACTTTTTCATCAGTTTGGTAACATGATGAAACAATCTTGACCAGGGGTTGTGGTTCAGTTCTCTAGCCACACCCAAATCTGATTGATGCCATAAATCACTCAACTAGAACCTGTCTGACATCCATCCATCCATTGTCTAACACCCTTGTCCCTTAGTGGGGTCGGGAGGTGATGGTGCCTATCTCCAGCTACCCTTCTGGGCGAGAGGCGGGGTCCCCCTGGACAGGTCGCCAGTCTGCTGCAGAACCTGTCTGACAATATAAAGTAAAACATCATTCCCTGATTCATAGAAATTAAAAAATAGATGAAAATTATTACTGGAAAGGATAACAAAGTCAGTTCTATGGCTCTATGACTGCAGCGAACCACAGTGAGAACCCGGCTGAGCTGGTGGGAAAAAAATGGGCCTAAACATTAAATTTAATTTCATTTATCCAGTAGGGACTACACACTTTAATTGACATTTCTGCAAATGCACCAGAATTAGCTAAATGGCTATTTTTCATCTGTTGTCCCTGGACAATGCTCAATTTGTCTAGCTAAAAACAAAGAATAAAATAACTTAATGATACAAACTGTCAGTAAATACAAAACAACACAAATAAACTACAAAACAATTATAAAAAGTATAAGAAGTAATTCAAACTAAATTAAATTATACTTGCTAGTATCCATTTGGATTGTGGGAAATGAAGGATTTTGTCACACAAGAAATGTAGGTAATCAGTAAACTTGACTATGAAATCTCAACAGCCCATGGACACCGAGTCCACCACAAAGGATCCCAGACAAGGTACCTGGGATCCTTTATTTATTTATGTTGAGGTCAGAGCTAATGATCCAATGATTCAACAATAGAAAAGAGAGACTGGACAAAAATGGCATCCATGGTTGAATTTCAATGCAGAACTAGCTACTGAAGAAGAAAGAGCACAAAGTTCACATTATGCACAGTAATGCCTCACATGAATCAAAGAAGATGATGATTCTGAAAACCTCTGGGGAAATATTCTCTTGACTGTAAAGAACTATCTGGAAAGCATGAGTCCTGCTACATTTGTCATGGATTTTAGAAAATGAACCTCAGACTGACTCTAAAACGTACTGGTGGTTTGATGGTATCTGTTTAGTCCGCTTTAACCTCTGGTTTGTTGGCCTTGGAAGTCCAGTTCATTTGTGGAGGTGTGAATATGCAATTGAACTCTGGTACAAACAGAAAAAATGAACTCTGGTCTGCCTACAAACCTCAATATGGGTACAGTTGAGGTGAACTCTGGTGCATTTTGAATGCATATGTGAACACCAAGCAAACTGAAGACCACTCCAAAAGCAGGAATGAATACAGGGCAGGGCATTCTGGGTAAATACAACCAAGATAAACATGCAAGTCTATCACTTGTGTAGAAAACTGGAAAATATTTAAATTAACTAAAATAAATAAACAAAAAAACTGAAACAACAAATAAAATGAATTATGAAGTCTCTGTAAACAAAACCATCCTTCAAAAAAGGATAGTTGAGAGCAAATATCCAGTTTTTGAGAGAAAAGAGAAAAAAATCATGAATCAAGCAAATAGACATTTTTAATTGATCATGCCATTAACTGATTACTTATTGTGAACGACCTATACGCCAAAGACAAAAGAGAAATCCTACAACCTTTAAAATCAGATGCTGCTCCATTTTTGTTTCCGTTTTGTGAAGAAGGAAGTTGTGCTCAGTGTCTTCTACTGAGGTTTTCCTGTTATTTCCCTCAGTGGTTCTTGGTGCAGCGCCACCACAGGCGAGGAGGGGAACCATTTCTTCAAATGGTTTAGATCGTTTAGCACAGTGCAGTCTGGAAGAGAACTGCAGCAGCTGAAAATGGAACAAATGTTGAAGTTTTGGTCCTTAATAGAACCAAATCTACTGGACTATGAGCCATGAAAATGCCCAAAGATCAAACTGTTAAGTGGACAAAATTATATGTGAAAGACGCTAGTCCTCCTTTGAATGAGCCAAAAAATGATGGTATTGAAGTGTGAAAGTCAAAGACTTAAATCTAATTTCACTTTATCTGATGGCAGTTGTTGCTGTCAACACAACCATTAGTTTTACAGAGAATTAACTTTTTTATGGGTTGGTCTGGATATCTGCTACAAGCAGTTGCCAGATGCAGAATGTGTCTAATGGATGTGATAGATATCATTACTAATTGCTCTGTTATGACTTAACCTGACCGCTTGGCTTAAAGCTATTCCAGAAAGCATTTCCCCTGAGTGCATTGGAGACTTTTTAATACATCCACAAGCAGATCTTAGCTCAGTGATTGACTGATCCCTCCACTCATGATACCTCACTTCTACTTTCTGATGCCTGGCACACAGTATGCAGCAGTCCCATCTGGATTAAACCTGTCCATCATATTCTGAGCAAATTTCACTAAAAGCATAGCATCAGTTAAAACCCTGAGCTCATTACAAGCAAACAGCAGGCCAGTGGTCCACCCCTCACCTCTCTGGTGAACAGCATTGCCGTGTCGTAGTGCTCAGGATGCCTTTGGCTTGGTGGGTTGAAAAGCTGCTGCCAGGAGCAGAAGTTGCGCAGAGCTACGCCTCCGTTGCTGGACAGCTCCGGTCCAGCCTCCTCGTCCTCCACCACCAACATCTTCACCACCACTATGTTCACTGAGTTCTTGATGCTGGGGTGCTTGTACAGCTGGGCCACCATGGACATGAGGGTGAGGACGTAGTGCTGCAGAGAAAAGCAAAAGAACAAGATGTTTCTTTCCATTTAGTAAAATTATAATGTTGTGTTTCAGACTTTTTTTGAGGTAAACAATGTTTTTGACACAATCTCTTGCTTACTAGTTATGCCTTGTAAGTCATTATTTAGTATGTGTTACACAGAATATGCTTTATTTAAGTTAAATGCAAGAGGTTTAGTCAAATACAACATATTTTGCTTGTTTTAGTAATAAAGATGAAGTATGTAACATTTATATAAATGTAATTTTTACATATTTCTTAAAGCTTTCACTATGTCATAACAGTATAACATGAGATAGGTCATCTGCAAAAAGTGTGGCTCCTATTGCTGTCTGCATGGTCTCTGCTGTGCTGTAGCTGGCTCTGCTCCATTTTATCACATTTCTCCTACTATATCATCATGACAGAGAAAAAGTTGAAAAAAATATGAAAAAAACACATTTTTATAAAAGTTGGACACTGTAGCTTTAATGCCAAATGCATAAAGATACAGATTCATCACATGATGCTCCCATCTTCTTAAAGCTACAAGGTAGCAATGACTATTGTTAGATAAATCATTCTAATATTATAAAGTCATGGCTTGATTTTCTGTTTCTAATGAGAGCAGAACATATTGGCCTAAAGTCAGTTAGAATGTAAAGTCAGAGGCACGTGGAGAAAACAGACTCTGATCAGCTCTAACACTGGGATGTCTTGTCATGCCACGGCTGGAATGGATTTTCAGACACTAGAGGTCAAATTATTTGCTTGCTGACTGGGAGTGTGTAAGAGAAAAAGCTGGGAAACATGCCATGATGTGGCTGACATCACTTTTCAGAGTCTCACATAGAAAGTTTTCCACATCTACATGAACAGCTACAGGTGGGGGCGGGGGGTGTTTTAAATTTGAAATGTGTGTTTGTATTGGAGAGTTGCTGGTGTAAGATTTAGTTCATCTGATCCTGGTTGTATAGTTGCCTAAGAGGGCTTGGCAGCCGAGGACGGGGCTAAATGCAAACAGACAGAGCTCTCCGAGCTTGAAGAAAATCTGTTGATTTTGTTTTGCTTAAAGGCAGCAGAGCCAGGATCTTCACGTTACATCATCCTTTTGAACTTTTCCACATTCTGCCGCTTGAACTTCAGTGTGTTTTATAGGGATTTTATGTTGCAGGTCAATACAAAGCAGCTTCTAACAGTGAAGTGGAAGAAAAATGCTGTAAAACCACACCTCTTTTTATCTTTTACTAATTGAAAAACATGAAAAATGTGGCGTGCATTTTACTCATCTTCCTTTACACTGATGCCTCTAGTAAATAGAGCCAAGATGTGTCTCACTTAATTTCATATGTATGTGCACACTGTAAAACATTTAAAGATGGTTTAACTTGAAAATAAAAGTCCACCTACTGCCTTGAAAATACAATTTAAGTCAACAAGAAAATGGTTTTGGTTTTAACTCAGAAATTACAGTTCATGAAGTTGATTTCACAACAAGAGACAAGTTGTCTAAACATTGTTTTTTAAGTTAATTAATATTGTATTGAGTTTTGACTTAATGCTGCAATTTATAACAAATAATTATTTCACAATATGCAAGAAAAAAAACTGCCCTCACCTAGTTAAAGAGCACACATATTGCAATTATGTGTACTCACAATATCAAGTTAAAATAACTACTTATTTTACTTTTACTTTGGAATATTTTAAATTCCTGTTTTGAATTGCATGAACAAAATTTCTGATCTGATAATGAATTTTATTAAACACCAAAATGAATTCTGCTCATAAACATTTAGTGTGAACAGGACATTATCCTCAAGCTTTGCAAACTGTCAGTTGCATTAAAATGAACATTTGCCTTAAAAACATATAATAGTCCAATCAGTGTAAAACACTTCCATCTGAGCAGCAGTAGACTACAGATCTCTATCGCAGGGCAAATTTTTATACTATACCGTTTATATTGTGCATTCCTAGTGGGGAGGTTCAATATTACCATGTTCATGCATTAGGTAGGCACAGTGAATATTGAGACTGAAATCAAATTGAGAATCTGTGTTGCATCCAACCTGACTGAGCTTCAAGTGTTTTGATAAGAAAAGTGGAGAAAACTTTGAGCTTGTGGCGCAGCTCAGCGGTTGGTGTTGAGGCGTTCTCACCTTGGTGAAGCAAGCTGTACATAAATCAGATTTGAAACTTTGTGAACTTTGGCCAAAGTGATAGATATTCAGGCATTCAATAGAGACAGAATACCTCTGAAAGCTCTCCAGTGTCAGGAGAAAGCTGGTCAATGTACAAACAGAGTTCCTTCACAAGATCACCCCCGTCCCCCAAGCTCCTGATACCTAAATATAGCCAACATGTGTTTTATTTCATTTCATAAAACAAACAAGACACGATGTATCTTTTTCCATGCAGCAGAAAACTAAAACTGCAAATACCCAATTACTAGAGCAACTATTGTATGTTGGCCTGTCACATTCACTTAAATATTATGTAATGTGGAGAAGTTCAAGGTGTGTCAAACCCTTTACAAAGAACTCGGTTTTCAAACTGGTTAAAGCCAGTATCTATAGATATTGGCTTTAACCAGTTTCTGATGCTCTGAAAAGAAAACGGCATTCAATAAATCTTGCAAACCCCATGAATCTTTTGGGATGATGGCAAAGCAATGCTGCCAATGTGTGACAAAGCTTAAAGGAATGTGCTCCAGCATTTTTTGCATTTCTGTTGCCTGACTCCTTCTCTCAGCCTGTGGAGATCAGCAGCCCGATTTCCTCTCAGCCTCACTCTGCGTCAAAAGCACGTTCTATGAAGCAGCCGAGGAAAACAAACCGATGCCTGGTGTATTTTCTTCCAGCATTGAATTCAGGCTCAACAGACAGGTTGGGGGAACTAAGGCGATGAGCATTGCCAGGAAAGTTAGTGAGATATTTAACGAAAGTCAGGATTCACCATCACAGTAACGTTTGCAGGTTGTAAGAGACAGTAATTGGTGAGTTTTACCTGTTTTGTGGAACTGTGGAACACACCATATTGATTAATCATTAATCATGGCTGAAAGCTGCAAAAAAAAAGGTTCATATCGCTTGATTTTAGGCTTCATGTACTGACTTTCAGTCCATTTCAGAACTCAGTCTGAATTTTTCTGCTTTTATTTTTAAAGATTCTAAACAGAATGTCTTACCAGCCTGGACTTTGACAAGCTTCTGCCAGACATTCCTCAATCCTGGACGGAACCAGATGTGACGTGACTATTAGTTTTTGGGGGAGGCTGTTTTGGAAAGAGGAGCTTCTCAAACCAATAATCATTTTAAGTCTATACTGAAACCCAATTTCTTTACATTTAAGCTGAGACTGAGCAGAATATCTTGGTTTCCATCACATAGTTAATTTGGTTTATTTACTTTGTTGTTAACTTAGGTTCTTATGGTCCCTTAAAGTTTTCTGTATTGTTACTGGAGCCGTCTTATACACTGTAAAGCAGGTTCATCAACACGTTAATCTGTAATATGCTGTTAAAATGGGGTTTTGATTTTTCGGGAAAGCGCAATCTAAAAGCTGGAGTTGACCGTGAAAGAGAGAGTGATCTCACGTCTCCTGACCTTTATTTCATCTCCATAGAAGTGGGTCATGGTCGAGTCTGCTACGGCCAAGGTTTCTATGAAGCGTGGCTCTGAAACGAAGCGTTTCCGGCGAGCTTCCCTCCGTGCATCACTGCCGCCGTGCGTAAAACTTTCCGCTCCGAGCGCCTCCGCAGCGCCACTAAACAGGAGGGAAACTCCGCGGTTCTCGGCGAGTATCCTCCTCCTGATCACATGCAGCTGCTCGGCAGAGTCCGGCCGCTGGCCGCTGCGGAGTTTGGGCTCGATCAGATACTCCTTCCCTTCCGAGATGAAGGAGCCGAAGATGCCCGAGCACAGGCTGACCGCTACGAGCGAGTTCTCGTCCTGACCCACGTTTCCGGAGAAGAAGCATCTCCGCAGGCGTCCTTCGCTCTCCTGTGTCCGGTTCTTGGAGCCGTTGTGGTCAGAGCGCAGCTCGGGCTGGGCACCTGAAGCGCTGCGTAAAGTGGCCGTGTATCCGGCGCTGACGCCCTGGATGTTGAAGGCCGGCGACAGAAAACTGGTGTCTGGGATGAGGTTCAGAGTCAGGTTCCTGCCGAACGCCTTGAGGGTGAAAATGGGGTTCTCTTCGCTTCTCTTCCAGAAGCGGCCGCCGATTCTGCTGTTAATCCGAACAGGTACAACTTCCTCCGACTCAAACTGGGAGGCAAGAGCTGCGTTGACTAGGCAGAGGAGCAAAGAGACGAAACGCGGCGTGATGCGCATCTTCTGACACAAGACGCAGAGAGCTGCTGCCACGGGGAAAATGCAGCTTGATGTTTAGGAAGTTATGCGTCCTCCTCAGTCCAGGGACTATTATCCTTAAATCCCCAACACTCCCAGGCAGTGCTCTGTCTATGAACTGTCTCCGGAAGTCTTTCTGTGTTCCTCTGAACAGCACTGCATTCTGGACACATCAGGGGTATTTATACGTCTTGCTCTTCCCTCGGCATGACGGGGGTTTATTTTTGATATCCCTTCTTGCTGGAAATTCTCCTCCCACCAGCACTTCACGAGAAACTCACGGAAAAAAAATCCTCCAATGAGAGCGGACTGACTCTCCGCCCTGCGGAGGGGACTGACAACCGCACTCCTATTATTAACCAGCCCTGCTGCCTGGCAGCGGCGGGACGAGGCGACGCATATTTGGAAGTCCGCTACGGGACTTATTTTGGAGGTGTGTGAGAGTGTACACAAACAACGCGCGCGCATGCACTCACACACACACACACACACACACACACACACACACACACACACACGTTTGCGTGGCTATCTTTGTGGGGACTTTCCATTGACTTTCATTCATTTCTACAGCATAACCCCACATATTCCATTCTCAGAACCTTCCCATCAGAAAGAAACTAGTCCGAACCTTTAATAGTTTCATTTTTACATTCATCAAAAGTTTTCTACAAACATAAAGCAAATGTCTATCAAACATCTGCAGACGACATCTGTCCGTTTAATGGCATTTCATTTTGACAAATGTCTGAAAAAGTTCATTAGTTTACAGACAATGGACAATCTTCGCCAAAAGTCAAAATGATATCGATCACCAGTTCATGCAATTTCCACAGCATGTATACATGGTGACATGTGCCCCAATGCCAATGAATAGGACGTACTGTGAAACAAAAATCATGTCAATGACCCAATAACATTACTTATTCGACACAACTCTCTGCTGTTTGCCCAGATAAAATTCAATCACCTGGAATGTATGTGATTGAAATGTCAAAGTAAAAGACATTTTGACGTTATTTGACTTCATTCGGGAAATAACTATCTGACCTCTTGGGGGCATAGCTATTACATTCCACTATAACGTGATAGCTATTATATTGAAATAAATATTTAAATATAATGTTTGGATACATGTTAATTTGGAGATGGTAAGCTGATTTTTTAATAGAATTTTTTTTAATTAGTAGAACAAGAATGCAAAAATAACATACCTCTTCATTTTACAGCTAGACACTGAATTCCACACCTCTGATCCCAATACACATGTTCTATCAGAATTGGAGCACATAAAAAGCGACACAAATACTTCAATTATGTGAGATGACTTGATGTTCCACAAAATTCCCTTTATTTTCTAATATTTGATACCTGCTAAAACGTGTTTTATACACCAACATGTATGCCACGATGGTTAACTTAGTGGCAGCAGCTTAAAGGGATTCAAGATTAGTTAAACATGTTGGCCTAAATAAGTTGTAATTGTTCTATTAACTAATTAATTGCTGTTTGTGATACGCCAAAACTTATAATTACTTAAATTATCTCTTTTGTTATATTTTTCAGCCATGGACTTCACCATTTCTTCACCTGCTGAGTTGATGGTTGATGATGCGCTTTGGTCCATTCTGTGCTCGAATCTGCAGAGTAAACACAGGAAGGCTAACTTTACTTGAGTTATTGATTATCATATTTCGTTTGACTGGCATAATTTTACATAATGCCACAATGTGTCACTGTTGGCTATAATTACAAAAAACAAACAAAAACTGTGATCTGAATTTGCATCATTTCCCACACAAAAAAAGAAGAGTACAGTAAAAGAGAGCCGGAGCCGAACAACTTCCGAAGGACCTACATTTGTGGCCTAAACATTTCCCTCCAGAATACTTTAATTCATTTGTACAGACAAAACTGACAAAGGCTCTAACAGGTGATCGTTACCTTAAGGATCACTTTTAGGTAATCCTTAAGGTAACGTGCCTAAAAGCGCTTTTCATAGCACTTTTAAAAGCAGCTAAAAGAAGGATTTATGTGCTTTTATCAACAAAGTGCCTAAACCCTGTTGCCACTGGAGCAAAAAGCATCAGAGACAGGAAACGCTGGAAGCTAACAGACCTCTGCTGCAGTAGTACCGCTGTTCTGTCAGACCCGCATACATTGTCAGATAGTCATAGCTTAGCTCAGACATGTATACGCAGTCATTACCATATGATTTTATTTAATCATCAACATAGGATCATGACGTAGATCATCATACACTTTGTTATTAACACTTGTATGGCATCCTGACTTAGCAGTTAATGAGTTTTACACGGTGTGTTGTAGCTGACTGCAGCTGCAGCCAGAACTGCTTTAAATAAACT